AGAACTCAAGAAGCAGAACACGCAAAACTCCAGACTACTATGGAGACGAACATCTAATTTTAGACAAACTAGAGCAATCAACAAAACATGATGGATGACGAAGGGTTCAATGAAAATTTAAGACCGAACAATATCACTAATCACTCGATCACAAAACACTTCTAAAAACAGAAGAAGTAACATCTTTAACTACGAAAGCATTCACATTTTTGTGAATGCTAGAAATGGAGAAAAATATGAAATTTGCGTATAAAAGCTATGAAGCGTGTAGGATTATTGGTTTGTAATGTTTCTCTAGGAGAACCCCACACAACAAGTAGTTTTAGCTGCATGCATTATCCAATAAACCAGACAAACATTATACCACAAACTAGACTACGGAAACGTATAGAAATGCAAGTATAACTTCATTCAATTGAAATTGACCCCTGAATTATATATTCATGACCAAAGAAATTTCCAAATTAAATACAATAATAAATCAAGCATGCCTCCTAGCATATGTAAGTCACAATTTAACATGCAATTTGATACCAAAATCCAATTTCTCTACGCTGAAAAAAATTAAGGCATTAATATAAACACCAAACATGCAACTTCACTAATTAAGCATAAATATCCTAGCGAGCGACACACAACATGTCTGGTATGGAAAACCTCTCATAGACAATAACACGAACACCTCGCATGCAACATAATAATTTAAGTGAAAATGAAGGGAAATTTTATACCTTGAGCCTGTGATCTCCACCAACGATCTTGATACTAAGAATATGCTCATTATCATCCAAAAGCTCCAATCTTTCGGTGCTCGTAGTCGCCGGCAAGCCAGACTTAACATTCACCTCTCTCACACTCCCAATCTCGAGGTCCCCCTGAACAACGCACCTACTCACAAAAGGCTTGTACTTCTGCGGCTGATCGAATCTCCTCACCAAAGACCAAACCTAGAATATCATCAAAGAGAAATTCAAAACAATCAGCTACGTCAAAACGAAGCGGAGAGAGATTCGATCTCCAGATCTGATCGAGATTCGAGATCTTTACGAGATGGATCGGGGCTTTGATGTGCTTGCTGAGGGTGGAGCTGCACTGGTTGTCTCTAGGGTTGTGGCGGATACAGGAAAGATCGGTTGACGCACGGCGGAATGAACTGCCGCTGTCCACCCTCGCTCTGCGTGAAAGCTACCGTTGCGAGATGTGGATATCGCGCGGCGCACGCGCGCGTGCGGAGGTCGTGCTCGTCGCCCGTCCTGGAACCGACGGACCCACAAGGCCAGTAAGCGCGCACCTACCGGCGGAGGGCTGTCAGCCTGGCTCCTTCCGACCATTGAGGAACAACCTAGATTCGGCTTGTCGATGGATTTCTCTAAAAAAAAGGTGATAGCTTTTTTTACTAGACTTTGATTTTAAGCTCTTTTTTTTTTTAAATCTCTCTTTCTTCTTCGTTCTTTTCCTTGTTGAGCTTCGAAATTTTTGGCGACAGAGAGTCAGAGGGGGGTGATCGCTATCGCTTCCTCTTGTAAGCCAAATGGATATAAAAATCCTTACAGATACTCGTCCTCTCACTTATTTTGCCCGGCTCACCGCATAATTTATTTCTATGCGGGGGTTTTAGGCTGGCCGTACAATTGGTGGATATTCCTTTATGCTCTGCTTCTCTCTCACTTTTACTTGTTGATGAGTCTAATATCCATTGAGTTTCTAATATCTAATTGAGTTTTTTTGGGGGGGGTATATTCCCATTATGTATATTTTTAATAGGGTTCATCATCATTAAACTTACTTGCTAATCACTTACATTTTGTGCGAATATTTTGAAATTTTTTTAATAAACAAGCATAAAGGAGATTACCTATTCAATAAGGTTATTATATATTAGAAGTTTCCTAGTTGCCCTCGACCAATCTAAAAGATATAATTTCATCAGCTTTAAATTCTATTAAGCAGTTTTTTTTATTTTTTATAATTTTGTTTTGCAATTCACATATAATATTATTTTTGTCCGCAAAAAGCACTATTTTTTAGTTAATTAAAGCGACTTGAGTAAATAGACATTCACTGTTTTCTAAGATAACTATCCTATAATAAATTTGATATAAAAAAGAGCAAGTGGATACTGGATAATCATCACATATTCGGCGCGTACGTTGACCGCCTACAACCCTCCCTTGTACGCAAACTGATGGCAGATTAAGCAAACCCATAGAACTCTTTATGCGACCACCCGCAAAAGCAACTACCCTTCGGCCCTTTAACCGACCGCACACAAAGCCATATTATGTTCAGACGCCCAGTAAAGAACAGTCCATGCTGATCATAACTATTAACGAAAATGCCACCGCAGACAGCCTCAGAACGCGCTTCTCCTATTGGGCCGAGTCCTACTACACGCGGTTAGATCACCGCCGCTGTTACCGCATTTAGAGATCTCGAAGCTCGAGAAGCCTGCTCGGTGATTTGTAGGCTACATAGCCTCCAAGGGGTTAGATCCAGATTCTGGTTGTTTGGCGACTTAGCGGTGGCATTCTCGTAATTCTATCAAATTGCAGGGGCTCTTTTGTAGTCTCCTTAAATATCTTCATTAAAGAACTTAATTAAGGTTCTGGAGCTGTTAACGGGCAATATCCGGTTTATGGAGGCATATAAGTGTGTGTTGAGAAACGGGCTGTTGCCTGTCGAAGAGAGGGGATTAACTATCAGTAGCAGAATAATAATCATAATAAATGATTTCAGTTCTAAAAATACGTACTTCCTCTGAAGTGGTTGTTTGAAATGGATAAAGGAGGAGATAAGAACAAAAATCATACTCCCTTTAAAAGCACGAGTTCGGAAAATCTTTTTAAGACAAATATATCCTTTTATAGTTTGAACTATCTTATCTATAATCAAATTCTAATTTTCAATGGTCAATATTACCCTTCACTATTTTGAATATTTTATTTATATCTTAATCTATCCTAATCATAATCATATCTTATCCTAATCCTATGTGAACCATGTTTAGCTTAATAATTTAAAAAAACTAATATTAATAAAATATATAAAACATAAAAATGATATTAGTTTGTTAAGATAAAGAAATTACAAGTAGATAACATATTATAATACATGAAGTATTGCAAAAAACCATAAAAAGTTTTAAAATTGCAGAAAAGACCCTGAAAAGTTCAAAATTATAAAACTCATCCAAATGTCTCAAAACTTAAAATAAAAAACATGAAATTAAAAAATTAACATCAGTTTGCAAAAAAAATTAAATTTTACAGTTAACACCTCAATGTCTCAAAAATTATAAAAACACCCTCAAAAGTTTAAATTACAGACAAGCACATTAAAATTCTAAAATTTTAAAACTTACAAACAACACAGATGAATTCAAGAGATTACCATGATACACCTAAAATTTTTGACATTTAAATTTAAAATTTTTAATTAACACCCTCAATATCTCAAAAATTATAGAAACACATTTAAAAGTTCAAATTATAAAAAGCCACCCTAAAATTCTAAAATTTGTAAATAAAATAAGATGAATTCAAAATATTACCCTTAAACACCTAAAAAATTAAATTTTGCCAAAATTAACTTCAAAATTTTTAAAAAACTCCTTCAAAATTTAAAAATCGTAAAAAAACTCTAAATTTTTAAAATTTTTAAACTAGCACACATCAAATTCGTCGATTGGTAGACCGCTGAAATTTAATATTTTTCAAAATTAATCTATAGTTTTAATAATGTTAAAAGACACCCTTAAAATTTTAGAGTTACAAGAAATATACTAACATTTAAAAAATTACCACCAACACATGAAACATAGAATTTACAACTACCAAACTTAATTGCAAAAAACCATAAAAAGTTTTAAAATTACAGAAAAGACCCTGAAAAGTTCAAAATTATAAAACTCAATCAAATGTCTCAAAAATTAAAATAAAAAACATGAAATTGAAAAATTAACATCAGTTTGCAAAAAAATTAAATTTTACAGTTAACACCTTAATGTCTCAAAAATTATAGAAACACCCTCAAAAGTTTAAATTATAGACAAACACATAAAAATTCTAAAATTTTAAAACTTACAAACAACACAGATGAATTCAAAAGATTACCATGATACACCTAAAATTTTTGACATTTAAATTTAAATTTTTTAATTAACACCCTCAATATCTCAAAAATTATAGAAACACCTTCAAAAGTTCAAATTATAAAAAGCCACCCTAAAATTCTAAAATTTGTAAATAAAATAAGATGAATTCAAGATATTACCCTTAGACACCTAAAAAATTAAAATTTACCAAAATTAACCTTAAAATTTTTAAAAAACTCCTTAAAAATTTAAAAATCATAAAAAAAAACTCTAAATTTTCAAAATTTTTAACTAGCACACATCAAATTCGTCGATTGGTAGACCGCTAAAATTTAATATTTTTCAAAATTAATCTATAGTTTTAATAATTGTAAAAGATACCCTCAAAATTTTAGAGTTACAAGAAATATACTAACATTTAAAAAATTACCACCAACACATGAAACATAGAATTTACAACTACCAAACTTAAAAGTAAATTTTTTTAAAAACTCTTTCAAAATTTTAAAAATTATAAATCACACCCTCAAAGTTCAAAACCACAAAAATGGGCTAAAATTTTAAAACTTGGCAAAGAAAAGTGTAATTGTTTGGTATTTTTCATATATATATATATATTAAAATTTCTAATTTAGGGATTTACTATCCATTTTCAGCATCTAAGAATAGTCTAAGTTGATACTGGTAAACAAAAACAATAAGAATTGATTAAAAACATCCGGTTAATGGATAAAATTTTTAAAAATATTATAGATTAAAAATTATCGGCACTATATAAATTAAAGTAATTTCATATAATTTTAGTAATAAGTTGGGGTAGCCAAAATACATTCGTAACATTAATTGATAGATGTTTAAATACATAGAAATGATAAAACACTATAATATTATACCTTAGCATTAATTGATTTTAATTTAGAAACTTTAATCTTTGACGTTAATAATATTTATAGGGTAAAAGAATACAAGGAATTACATATGGAGAAACTATTAGAATATTTAGAGATAACTTTAAAAGAATTGAGTTATTTCCATTGCAAATGGGAAAGTGATGGAAATAAATCTAAAATTCAGAAAACGTCAATGAATCACTTGAATTGGCATTAACATAAGACATATCTATTAATGAAGCACTGAATGAGTTACATTAAAAAATAATTTAATAACTTTATCCTAATCAAAGAAAAAATCTCCATGGAAGACATAAGAAAAATTAGTAAGTATTCATAAATTCCATACTGTGTTCTTCAAATTAAATATTAATATTATAATCTAAGAGAAATTAGTAATGAATAATGCAGGTATTTATTTTAGATCTTTATGAAAAATGATAAGGATAGAGCAAAGGTAATATTATTGAAATAACAGAAATTCTTATTGGATGCACATCAGAAGAATTCATTTTAGAGGAAAATAAAGAGATAGCTTCTAATTTATTTAAGTAATAAATTAGGAACACAAAGAATTTTATATATATGAAATTAATATTTATTCTCATTGAAATAGAAAAAAAAATCAAAGTCTATATTTTGAGCAGTTTGTGTTGAACATCATAAGTACATTTGACTTCTTTGTAAAGTTAAATGAGATGATAAAAAATTAACGAGCCTAGAAAAGATAATAGCATAAAAATATAAAATTAGCCTGATGTCACAATTGATGTAGATGATAAAGACAATACTCTAGAATTGTCCGAGAAATGATAAATGATAAACCTAAAAAAGGATTGATCTTAACTCAATAAAAAATAAAATAGAAAAAATAAAAACAATATTTTATGAATATTTTATGAATATTTTATAGAATAGTTTAATTATTTTGAGTGAAATTAGGAATCTTTAGAAGAGAGTTTCATAAATTTTTTTCAGTACTTTTATATTCTTATGTGGATGTTTTTATCATATAAAAGTATACTAGAGTTAGTATTAATCTTTAATTTATATTTTTTTATGAAGTCTATCAATGATTAGGAATAAACTTCATATTCTCTTTTGCATCGTTTTAACATACTTTAAATCAATCATTTTGTCATATTGATTTTAAATATTCACCTTCCTTATATAACACTATTTTAATATTTTTCACTTTGCAATGCTATACTTTCTCAAATAAAGCTTAGTTTCATATCGATCAAAAATAATATGAAAATTCAAATTATTTTTAAATTATATTTGTTTTTTGTCAATTCAAATATCAACATGAAAATTTAAATTAGGTGTATCTCATTTAAACAAACAT